TGTTTTACAGGGACTTAGTTCATCTCCTCATTAGCTCGCCTTCAGCTGTGTCAGTGTAGCACTGAGAATTCTCAGTGTAGCAATTGAGAGTCTTGAGAACCTCCACTTATCTTTTATGAACTCGAAAATTATTTCTGCCTGGAGTTGAGTCCTTCTCTGCTGTTTCTGGAAACAGCCCATCTTGTTGATGTGATGTACTGGCAGGGGGCTTTACACCTTTTTTTGATGGGGAGGGGGTCCTGACAGGCGAGGCATTCTGCCTTTTTTTTTTTTTTTTGTAGAGACAGAGTCTCACTTTGTCGCCCTCAATAGAGAGCTGTGGAGTCACAGCTCACAGCAACCTCCGGCTCCTGGCGATTTTCCTGCCTCAGCTTCTGGAGTAGTTGGGACGACAGGTGCCTGCCACAACGCCCGGCTATAATTTGTTGTAGTTTGGCCGGGGCCGGGTTTGAACCCGCCACCCTCAGTATATATGGGGCCGGCACCCTACTCACTGAGCCATGGCGCCGCCCGCATTCTGTGCTTTTTAAGAACCATTTTTTACTAAGAAAAACGCTCCTCCTCCTGGGGCAAGTCCAGCCCCTCCTGCCGAGAGCCGCCACACTGTTTAGGATCGGAGGCCGGGGATTTCTTGGCAACAGTAGGAAAGAGATGGTGAAGGCAGATGGCTGCTTCAAGTTTCGAAGCTCAGTTATTGAGGCTGAACCCCAGAGTCTGTCCAAGACCTCAGACGAGCGCTTTTTGAATGCCTGGTTTGGAGGAGTCTGGGACTAGCTTCTCTTTATGATCTTGCCTCTCTCGCAAAAATCTTACAGATTCCTTTTTCGTCTTATCGAACCTCCGGGGTGGCGAACTGCGGCCAGTGCGCCTCGGTACTGCTGCCACCAGGGGGCGCCCTGCGCGCTTCTCCCTTCTCTGGCTCTCCAGTGCCTGCCTCTAAAGGCTGACTTTCGCCTTTCGTCCTCCTGGCGGCGCCCGAGAGGCCCTCGCTGAAGGTGAGGGTTTTTCCCACGTTCAGGAGGTGGAAGTAGTGTCCCTCCCTCTTCGTTGGTGCTGCTCACTCGTTACCCATCGCCGTGTCCGTACTCCTATTTTATCAGTGAATTCAGGAACAAAACATTTCAAAATAGATTTTTCTGATATTTCAGAACATCCAACACTTTTCCTGCAAAATATGTAGGATTCCAAGGGGAAAGTAATTTTACACTTCTGAATGGTACTGCGTTTGCATTAGAATGGAACGCTTCTATTGAGGGTCCTAAAGACGTCATCAAACCCCATTATCGATTAAGCCTGAATTGAAGATGTGTCAATGCTTTCAGAAAATCTGAGGGCTAAAGGTAGAGCCTCAGCTCCCTCCCCTGGCTGTTTGGGGAACCCTTACAGAGGATCCCTGGGGCCTTGAAGGAAAAAAGGACCTTCTAAACAGACTGTTTCGCTTTGCTTGGTGTTATCAAGGTTCTGAAAATAATGGATTTCCTTGTGATGGGAGCTTTCAACATTAAGATGGCCTATAAAGTTATATGTGACAAAGAACTTTATGTTGAGTTCTCTAAAATGACATTGGCATTAACATAACCACTGCTAAGTGGTGGAAGTCTAAAATCAACTTCTTATTCCATTTCTGATGCTAAACACTTAGGAAGGATGAGACATTAGAAGTTCACACTGTCACTTTTTTTACCCTTGGCTCTATCCTAAGATGTTTTTGTAGGAGCGCTTTGACTGTTAATCCAAGGGACTTAGTTTCACTGGAGAACAGAAAGGAAGTGGTAGTAAAATTCACTGAGGACCTGGTTGTCAGTGGACTAGGAGAGAAGAAGGGAATTGTTTTTTTTTTTTTTTTTTTTGAGACAGAGCCTCAAGCTGTCCCCCTGGGTAGAGTGCCGTGGCATTACAGCTCACAGCAACCTCCAACTCCTGGGCTCAAGCGAGTCTCTTGCCTCGCCTCCCAAGTAGCTGGGACCACAGGCGCCCGCCACAACGCCCGGCTATTTTTTGGTTGCGGCCGTCATTGTTGTTTGGCGGGTCCAGGCTGGGGATTCGAACCCGCCACCTTAGGTGTACGTGGCTGGCGCCTTAGCCGGTTGAGCTATAGGCGCCGAGCCGAAGAAGGGAATTGTTATAAGCTCTTTAACCCAGGTGGTGCTGGCCTGTGTCACCTGGCTGTCAGGTGCCTGGGCATGAGCTCCTGATGCAGAGAGTCAGACTGAGCAGGCAGCTCTTCTCACAGAGAAGCTCAGAGCTGAGCCAATCCTTGGCTGTAGAGAAGTAAAACTTCCAGAGTTTGCTGGTTCCAAGCTTTTTGCTGGTCCTTACAGTTAAAGGACAAGCAAAGAATTCATGAGAGACTTGGGGAAGCTTCTGTGATTAGTGTCACAAATATATATATTTGGTGATGAATGACATGAGGGTTCTGGGAGAAAATTGTTTGTGTCTAGTTCTCAGACTAACCAGAGAGTCAGAGAGTCTCTTTACCCCTGTGGGACTGGCTTTCCTTCTCTGCAAAGTGGGGGGATCCCTGTGCTTCCACATGAGAGACAACAAGAGTTAGCCCACCAGCATGTTTTCTTCTCTACTTCAGCTACCAGGAAACACATGAGTCAAGTTCAAAGCTTTATTGAAGGAACTCTGAAGAACCCATGACTTGATTTCTTGATACCATTTTCCTTCCTGGTTTTGACCTTCTGTTCCAGCTTTTTTTTTTTTTGAGACAGAGCCTCAAGCTATCCCCCTGGGCAAAGTGCCATGGCATCACGCTCACAGCAACCTCCAACTCCTGGGCTCAAGCGAGTCTCCTGCCTCTGCCCCCCAAGTAGCTGGGACCACAGGCGCCCGCCACAACGCCCGGCCATTTCTTGGTTGCAGCCATCATTGTTGTCTGGCGGGTCCGGGCTGGGGATCCGAACCCGCCACCCTAGGTGCACGTGGCTGGCGCCTCAGCCGGTTGAGCCACAGGCGCCGAGCCCTGTTCCAGCTTTTGTTTCCCCTGGATCTTAGTATGTTATTGTTTGTCATATTAATATGTTGTTGAGTGTTTTTCTTTTTTCCAGTGCACTTCAAATTCTTTGTGTAATGAGCATTGTATAAATAAATTGTAAACGGAGGAGGTCACACAAGATGAGTTTCAAGGCCCTTACAGGACTGAAGTTCTGGTATTCTAAGGGAAAGTAATTTTCTGTGTCTAGAAGGTACCAGGTTTACATAGAATGGAACTCTGCTATTGAGGGGGCTAAAGACTTTACAAACCTCCAAGGAGGCCTGGCCTGGATGTTCTCCTACATCCCTGGGAGGAATCTTTAACAGAGTCAGCACTTTGTCCTAGTTTATGGGAGACTAGCTTTTCCATTGGGATTTTAAGACTTTCCCTGTGTGAACTTGGTGAAGAAATACCTGTCTGGGGCAGGGCAGGATCTGCAGCTGTGTCAAGAACTCTTCAGTAGTTTTAATGTGGATGGTCTCAAGTTACACTTGGCTCTAAGAAAGTGTGAGGGAATGTGCATGTGCCTTTTGAGGGGGAGGACCGGAGAAGGATGGTTGATCTGTTTCATCCAGGAGCTCATCTTGGCTTTTCTTGTGCATGATCATGTCACTTCTCACATAATCTCTGAGGCGCTTACTGACATGCGCGCCATTTTACAGATGAGAAAACTGAGGTGTGGAAAGAAGGTATGCAGCCCAGGGTTCCATATTGAGGGAGAGGTGAGGCCCAGCACAGGCCCAGGCTTGCTAAATTCAGAGCTCTCTCTCTCTCTCTCTTTTTTTTTTTTTTTTGGCCAGGGCTGGGTTTGAACCCACCACCTCTGACATATGGGGCCGGCACCCTACTCCTTGAGCCACAGGCGCCGTCCCAGAGCTCACTTTCTAACTTATAGCCCTGGTCCACAACATAGTTGAGTCAGCATGCTGGTTGGGCATGCAAGGAAGGAAGTCTGAGTGTCCCCTGGCTGCTGGTACCATCCCTGCTCTGGGATTCAAATTTTCAGCTTGATTCTGGTCCTCTTGTCCTCTGTTTTTCAGCATAGCCCATATACTTTGAGATGGAAACAACAGTATACCTTATCTCCACAGTCACATGGGCCTAGCAATCTAGACTACAGCTATAGGGAAGTATTTAGTTGATTATGAGCTACTTAATTTGCTGGATTTAACTAGGTAATTGGCACCATACTTTTCTCTTTGAGAGGCCTGAACCAACAATAACTTTTGCTAAGTGCTTTTGCTTTTTTAAATTTACAAGTGCCTTTTTAGAGGGCTGTCTTTGTCTACCTGTCTGTTGAAAATTTAAGTGTTTTCTTTACATTTCGTCTATCTGGGTTGAATTGATTCATCCCATTTGGGAATGAGAAATTTTATTTTAATGTGACAAGTTGATCATGTTGAGTGATGAACAAGTGTGAAGTCTGCAGAGTTCAAATGAAAAAAGAAAGTATGATGGAAAAACAAAGGTGGGATGGAGGGAGCCCATTAAATAGCTCTGCTCTTTTCTGCCCTAGTTTTGAACTGATTGAGAAATAAGGAAAAAGAATAAGACATATGGAGATGACAGTATCCCTTTTCATAGAGTGGATCCTGGAGAATGGGGGTGACAACTGCAGTAAGTGGGGTTCTCACACTGGCTTTCAGCATCAGGCCCCCCCTCTCCAGGGCTGAGCCCACCCACGGAAAGCCAGTGTCTGAAGAGCAGCCGCAGGCTAAGAGGGAAGGGCTGGGCTACCTCTGCCTACATTGTTCTCCCAATTTCTCCAATCAGACCAGCCACACAGGTGCTATCACCCCAGCAGTGATAACAAGGAAGGGGCTGAGTGTGGCTGGGAGCATGACCCTAAAGGAAGTGGAAGAATCCTCAGGAAAAGGGAATAAGCATTCTCCTAACAAATAGAGAGGAGAATTGAAGCCTTAGTTCCCTCTGTTTGGGACTTAATTTGATATTAATGTCTCTAAAGATGTCAGCAGATACGTAAATTAACTTGCTTTTATTTACTCTGTTTACATTTTAGATTCTCGACTACCAGAACACTTGCTTCTTTGGTGGAGACTGTATCTCCATGATCGATTACCTCCTCTGGCCCTGGTTTGAGCGTCTGGATGTGTATGGGATTGCAGAGTAAGACATTTGACCTTGTGTTGTAAGTTCCTGGAGTCACACTGAGTAACAGTGGTTACAGTGGCCTGTCCCCCTATGGACATGTCTCAGCATGTCTATGAAACAATTCAGGTTTCTAAAACCACAGTATGTACTTCCTGGTTCAAAATGCATCTGTGTTTTTCTACCACTAACTGCAGGACCACACTGTGCCCATATTTCTAAAGATAAGAACCTGGGTCCAGATGCCCAAAAGCCTCCTGTGGAGCTTCAGAGCCTGCTGTCCTTGCCAGCCAGCCATACGTGCACAGGCCAGTGCTGACAGCAGGTGGAGAGCCCCAGGCATGTGCACTGATGTCTGGTCTGCAGCTCCCTGAGTGGCAATTCTGCTCGGCCCCATGGGTCACTGGGCAGATACCACACATAGACCTTAATTAGCCACATCTTATTTCCCCGAGGAATCTTCTACCCGATAGGAATACTCTTTGAAAAAAAAAAAAGATTCTTTTTTTTTTTTTTTGAGACAGAGCCTCAAGCTGTCCCCCTGGGTAGAGTGCTGTGGCATCACACTCACAGCAACCTCCAACTCCTAGGCTCAAGCGAATCTCCTGCCTCCGCCTCCCAAGTAGCTGGGACTACAGGTGCCCGCCACAATGCCCGGCTATTTTTTGGTTGCAGCCGTCATTGTTGTTTGGCGGGTCCAGGCTGGGGATTCGAACCTGCCACCTTAGGTGTAGGTGGCTGGCGCCTTAGCCGGTTGAGCTATAGGAGCCGAGCCAAAAAAAAAAGATTCTAAAAGTAATATATACTTGATGTTGAGACATACAAAGAAACAAAATGGCAGCCCAAACCATGGAAATTTAAGAAGTTAAAGCAGAAAAAAATAGCTGTGCAGGGTCCTGGGAAGAGCATGTGCTTTGTTCCCTGAAAGCTCAGGAGAGAAGCTGGACATGTGCTGGTACCCTTCTAATCTCAGGCACCAAATGGTTGGTGCTGGATGTTTCTGGTGTTTGGAAATTGGTCCTACTGAAGCAGAACCGTGTCTGCACCTCATGATACACGGGCTTAAGCCTACCCCAGAATCATCTTCAGCGCCTCCCCTGTTAGTCCTCTCTGAAGGAAGATCAGATATGACACATTTGGATATTTTAAACTCTTCCTCAAACATAAAAAAAAACAAAAACCGATCTCCTCTGAAGACAGCTTTGAGGCACAGGTTAGGAGACTCCCCTGCTAGTTCTGGAGGTGAGCATGTCGTTACAGACCCCAGACCTAAATTCAGTAGCTCTGCTCTTTTCTGCCCTAGTTTTGAACTGATTGAGCCACCTTTGAAAGGGCCTCATCAGCTCCATTATTTCAAGGTTTAAAAAATATCGTGGAAACTCCTTGTCTTTATTTTTCTCCCCCTCCCTTGAGTACAATCTGATAATGACCCAAGAATGTTTACTTCGGAGGGTTGTCTTTGGTGGGGACCAGTGAAGCATAGATGCCTTATTTCCCCAGAGCCATCAGTCCACAAGTATTTGACCCTATTATGAGAAGCAGCAAATTCTACACATTTAGCCATCCCCTGGATAAGATTTTCCTGTAATAGGGTGGTGCCTGTGGCTCAAAGGAGGTGAGGCCCCATATGCCAGAGGTAGCGGGTTCAAACCCAGCCCTGGCCAAAAACTGCAAAAAGATTTTCTGCAATAAAGGATCGTGTTCACTCAGCAATAGGTTAACTCTAGTCCCCAAATAAACCCATCTCCCGTATCTTATAAATGTAAAAAGCAGTACCCATCCCTTTCCTGACACCTGAAAAACGTGACATGCTGACACTTCTTTCCTGTCTTGCAGTTGTGTGAGCCACACCCCAGCCCTGCGGCTCTGGATAGCGGCCATGAAGCAGGACCCTGTGGTGTGTGCTCTTCTCCTAGAAAAGAGTGTCTTCCAGGGCTACTTGAGTCTCTATTTTCAGAACAACCCTTCTGCCTTTGACTATGGGCTGTGCTGAGCCCACAGTCCCCAACCTCCCCTTCCTCATCTAGAATTCCCAAGCTTGTCATGACTCTGCCACAGGGAGTGTCTTGGGAATCAATCTGTCTCTGTTCCTTTTCCTTGAGGTTCCCAATAAAAATGAAAACAGACAGTATGCTCTTTCTGATAATCATGTCTCTGACTCCTTTAGTGAGGACCTTCTAATGATTCTCGAGAGCGGTGATTTTCAGCTGCTGTGAGAGGATCTTAGGTGTGCTTCAAAAATGTTTAAAGATCGTTAATTCAATTATTTTGAAAGACGTTCAAAACACAGTAAGTATGCTGTTTTCTTTACTCTTCTTTTTGATCAACATAATTTCAGTGTGCCATGGAAGTTTAACTCGAGGTTCAAGTGTGCTGAGAGAGAAAAAAGGTTGGAAAACACTCGTCTGGAGTGACCTCAGTGCCCGGCACTCAGGTCCCAGCACAGCTCGGGGGGCTGTGTGCCTTCTGGCTCCTTGGCCTTCAGCCCAGCTTAACCTCCAGATTATTGGTTCTGGTGCTGAGGTGCAGGGTCCTCCCAGGAATGACATTTGTCAATAAGATGGGCACCTTGCAAAAACCTCCCTGGTGAGAGGAGAGCTTGATAAGAGGGAAGGGAGAGGAAAACATGCCAAATCTGAATACCTGCCATTTGGCGAGGGGACGCCCTTAGTCACGTGGGTGTGCATAAGTATCATTTTCTCCCACGATTTGGCCAGGGGCCTGGGAGACACCGAGGGTCTTGTGACTGGAAAGAATTCCAAAGCAGGAAATGAAACACCCGTTTATCACGCTGGGCTAACTACGTCACCAGCGCTGTCAGAGCTCAGGATGTCTCACAAAATGTTCTATAGCTGGCATCCTGCCTCAAAAAAATACACATTCCCCAAACCCAGTCACAGGCAAAGGTCACCCTGTTGATTTGCGTCACACACTTTATGTTCATCCAACAAAAGTCTCTGGTTGCCTGTCATGTACCAAGCCCAAGGCCGAGGGAGGAATGCATCTGACAAGTATGTGGTCCCTGCCCTCCACCTCTCCAGTCCTCTTGCTTGGGGTTTTAAACCTAGTGCTTCATGGATGCTTGTTTTGGAGAGACTATGCTTGTTTCAGCTTGGGTACTGTCCCTCCTGCCCCACTGAAGGCCACAAAGAGCCGAGAATGGCCAGGTGCCTGCAGGTGGCTCAGCCTAGGTGCATCCCTCGCCTGTCCTGCGGGAGAGGGACTGAGTCTGTCAGTGCCCTTCCATCTCGGAGTCTTAGGGGCTCAGCTTGCGATCATTTCAGCTTTGCTCCCACTGAATCTTCTCCTGCCCTCCCAGCCATGCTGAGATGCTAGGCAGCAACCAGAGCTCTGTTCTGCCTTGTCTGTGCCCACCAAGAGCCTCTGATGCAGCCCAAACCAGGCCTCTTCTCTCCCCACGTCTCCGCCCAGCCCTGCCATCTGCTGGCTCTGCTCGTATTTTGACGCATGTAAATAGTTACCAGGTGTGACTCCATGCCAGTTAGACACAAGCAAGCCCGCTCAGAGAGGTGGCCTGGCCTTCCAGAAGAGGGGCCGCGTGACTAGAGCAGTCTGCCATACCATCTGCTCTGGATGTGGCGCCCTGTTGCCATGGCACCCAAGTTATGGAGGGAAGTCTCTGAATCACTGTTTCCCCTGGTTCTTTGCTCAGACTAAGGAGAATCATCTCCTATGGCCTCTCATAGGATTTAGGGGACCGATCAACCTTGACAGCTGTAAATCTTAGCAAGCTCTTGGCATAATAAGATCAAAATTGCAGTTGGTGCAACTGACAGTGGCATGGTTCTGAGTCACAAAACAAAAGTGTTCTCTTTGGGGTCTCTACACGCTAATTTAGGAGGCCTGAAGAACCAGGGAATATAGAGAGGAGAAAAGTACTCAGGAGGAAAAGGCTGGTGGCTTGGCCCCCAGTCTGGGATCCAAGTGCCCTTCATTGGGGTAAGTGTGCTCCCTGCAGTTGGCGGGAGTTCTGGTCCCCTGCACTGCCTGCCTGACACTTCCTTCTGGTCTCTTCTTTACGTCACCCGCCTGACCCACAGTGAAAGTGAGCTGTCAGCCTCTGGGTGAAACTAGATTTAGCCTGGAGAAAAGAAAGACAATTGCTGCTCCATGAAGGGCTTTTAAAATATATTTCATTGGCTTGGCACCTGTGGCTTAAGTGGCTAAGGCGCCAGCCACACACACCTAAGGTGGCGGGTTTGAATCCCGCCTGGGCCTGCCAAAATAACAATGATGGCTGCAACCAAAAAATAGCTGGGCGTTGTGGTGGGTGCCTGTGGTCCCAGCT